CTGCCGCGCCGGCGCCGGCGCCGGCCGCTGCTCGGAAGCCGCGGCGGCTCGCCGCTCGTCGGCCGCGGCGGCCCGCTCGGCGGCGGCGGCGGCGGGCGCAGGCGAGCCCGGGCGGTCAGCGGTGGCGGCCCGCGCCGCGGGCTGCTGCGCGGGCTGCTCCTGCGCGGTTCCTCCTCCGCCTCTCCTCCCTCCCGCCCCTCCTCCTCCTCTCTCCTCCTCCTCCTCCCCTCTCCTCCTCCTCTCCTCCTCCTCCTCCTCTCCCTCCTCCCTCCTCCTCTCCTCTCCTCCTCCTCCCTCGCCTCCTCCTCCTCCTCCCCCTCCTCCTCTCGCCTCTCCTCCGCCTCGTCCTCCTCCTCCTCCTCCTCCGCCGCCGCCGCCGCCGCCGCCGCCGCCTCCTCCGCGCGCGGCCTCCTCGACGGGCGCAGGGCAAGCACCAGCCGCCGCGGAGGCGGAGGCGGCCAGCAGCGCCTCCAGGGCCGCGTCGGGGTCGCGGCCGGTCTCCTGGCCGCGGGGACGTGACGAAGGCTGCCTCGACGGGCCGCGTCGGGGTCGCGGGCCGCGCCTCGACGGACCCCGACCGCGACGGACCCCGAGCGCGCCTCGACGGGCCGCGTCGGGGTCGCGGCCGTTCTCCTGGCCGCGGGGACGTGCCCCATGGCCTCGCCGGCGCCTCCCGCCCCCTGCAAGAGTGGTCAGCATCGAACCGGATGACCGGGTCGGATCGGATCGCGCGTCGGGTCGTGCCGCATCGGCACGGCGCTGGAGTCGAGCCGCATCGGCCGCGCCGGGATGCGCGGCAGCGCCCTGCAGGCCTGGGGGCCGCACCGGATCGCTGGGGCATCGGAACCGAATCGGATGCGGACGGCGCAAGCCGGAGTCAATCTCAAGCCGGAGCAATCGGATCGGCACGGACCGTCACCTCTGAACCGTCACCTCTGAACCGTCACCTCCTCCTCCTCATCCTCCTCCTCCCATTCCTTCCTCCTCCCCCTCTCCCCCTCCTGCGGGTACTGCGGGTACCAAGAGTGTCAGCCATACAACGCACAGCTGGCACACGGGCACTAGCCCAGGTGATTAGTGCAGAGAGATGAACTCCCCCAGGGCTGTCCCGCTGACCTGCTGGGGGGAGTGAATTCTGCACTGCGTCATGGGGAGCCTGCCCTTGAGTAGGGCTCGCTTCTCTTTCGAATTTTCATTCGGCACACACCTCAACCTCAACTTGATGGCTTTCTGAGTCCCAAAGGATCCGCACCTGGAACAGAACACAACAGGAAATCCAGACTCCACGACAAAGGCGACGTGGAGGGAATGCCCGAAATGGCCAGGGGTCTTGAGCACATCCAGGAGGGAGGGATTCAGGCCAATGCAAAGGGGTCTTCGTGCGTGGTGACACAGTCCTGAGACATCGACTGCAGCGCCAGTGATCAATGTGCCAGTAAGGGATATGTGGAGACGTACGGGACCTACCTCGAACACGGGGTCTCACAAATTCCTTATCCAGCACTCCAAACAGATCACTGGGTGGGGGCCAGAGGGCAAGGACTTTCCCCATCCCCACAAACAGCTCCTTAAACTCGGCGACCGTGGAAACAACAGAGCCAGAGAACGTAGGGTCGAAATCGCGTGACCTCGCCCCTTGCTTCGCGAGCCAGTCGGCATATTTATTACCACAAATGTCAGCTTTGTCACTCGCGCTGCTGGCAGAGTCGTCTGCTCTGTGGGCCTTCACCTTGTGGAAGGAAACCAATTCACCAACATCGAGAGTCGCGGCTACCTCGCGCCAAAAATGAGCGGCATCACACTTGGCCGCAAGAACCTGGTCAGGATGGGTTTGACCACGGAGCAACGCAGCGAAGTCCACGGCGAGCGGCTCTTTGCCGTGTACAGGTGTGCCATCATCATGGCAATCAGCTCTCCTACTTTACTGCTTTGACCGAGCACTCTGGGCACATGCCCGCAAATGCCTCGGACGGAGTTCCCCTGGGCATCCACAAGACCAACCCCCCAACCCGCTCTCGCCAAGTACCCCAGATTCGGCCACAGGCATGATCCGTCCGAGTACAACTTATCACTGGGCGAGAAAGCAAAGGGGTCCGTTTGCAGGCCTCCTTGGTAGAACTTCACGCCCCACCCCTCGGCAGGTGGGTCGGCAGGAAGACGGGCGAGCCAGCACCTGGTGAACAGTAAGCTGGATTCTCCAGCCTGACGCGCCTGCAAAATGGTGGCCTCTGAAAATTTTGCCGTGAGCACACTGCCAGGCTCTGTGGGAAACAATATCTGGGACCCCGCAGCCGAACCTACATTCAGGGGCCAACGAGTATCCCCAGGACCTGAGTTCCACCGCGGTCGGGACGACTCCCCAAAAAACTTGCCTGGCAGTGCAAACTTCCTTAGGCCCTAAATCATGTTTGCTAGCCAACACTTTAGCGGCCAGCTCCCACCACAAACCACGTTCATTAATCACGTCGCTACAGGGGCTGGGGGTGAGTGTGGCACTTAAACTTGGCAAAATTCTGAATCCTACTGTTCTTATACTGGGTCTCAAAACGCTTACTGATGAAAGCAGGGGCCAACTTCAGCACATCTAGGGTAACACCCTCGAGGTCAAGGAAGGAGGTGGGCCCCAGGACAGTCCACCCCACCTCCCAGCACCAGAGGAGAACATCGCTGAGAGGCCCCTTGCTTTCTTTAAACCAGTTTTTAATCACAGCATTAGGATTAAGATGTTGCATTGCAGTCTGGAATAGCCTGGTCAGTACAGGTGGGCCTAGAACGTCATCATGTCGTCGTAGGAGGTCCTCTCGAGGACAGCTGGACATCCACCATTCTGAGCAGTATCCGTATATGCTCATGCTGGCCGCGTGGATGGGGTCCTTCACTCTAGTAAGAGCCCACGCGATTTCGGCGTCCAGCCCTTTCATAGACATACCCATCGACTTTGAAACCTGAGCACGTAGCCCGTGTACTTGTGCAGGTGAGAACGCATGCACATCTCCACCATATAGCACCGTGGGGACCCTATTTATGATATCCAACCTTGTGTTGCGTCCACGATGTGTGAACTTCATAGTTGCCAGCTTCTTTTTCTTGGTGAGCATCTTCCTCCATCTCATCGCTCGTGTCGCGTGAGCCATTGTATGAGATCTATGCTTGCCACCTGTGTAGTCGATGCCGAGATTGCGGAGACCATATTCACCAGGACCCCCGGGTTTGCCCAGCATAGTTCTTGCCAACTCTGTCATCCTGCCCGACGAGGTAACCATGTTCAGCTTGTGAGTGGCCAGCGGTAGTCCCAACTCCTTCTGTAGACGATGGCCCACTCGATGCACATGTACTTTCATCTCTTGCAGAACTGTAAGCATGGTGTCACCCCATTGGTGCTGTGACAGATCATCAACATGGACAGATAACATGCAATTGGCATCACCCCTCAAGTCCAACTCATCATTCATCATGGGGGGAGTGCCATCTTAGCCTCGAATGTCGCACTGGCAGACCCTGCGACAAGACCCCTTCTGCGGGACAAGCGGGTCCATCAGCATGCCGTCGTACTGGAGGTATCTGGGCCATTGATATGTCTGCACCGACATTCTTAGAACCGCTGTGGGGAAATGTGTAAGTGTGCTGTTGGACTCCAGCAGGTCCCACGGCACATGTTCGTAGAACTGGGGGAGGTCTCACAGCACTGCAATGTAGTAGAGGCCCATGTTGTTTGAGCCCTCGGAAATCGCTGCCTGTCTCCATACCGTGTCACTTGGTCCTCTGCCTTGAGACATGCTGCATTGACCACCAAGACCTTGGTATCTCTCCCAACGCCGTAGACGATGTCTCCACAGTCCCCCCAAGATGCGGGCTGGTGCTGGGAAGCCCGAGTGGCCGTCTCCCACCAAGGGGCTTGTGATTCAACTGCACCGCCAACTTCTGTGTCGAGTACGGGGTCTGACCGCACATCTCCATTCAGAGAAGCAACTTGCCAAAGACTGCACGAGATCTGTCACCAAGAAGACTGCAGTGACGAGGGTGCCACCCGTCAGGTTGACAAGTGTGCGTCTTGAAACGCTTGCTGATTTCTTTCACCAAGTCTGCACTAGGGAGCTCCATCACTGGCCTACGCTGGCCTCCGAATGTGGGTCGCGCTGAGCTGGGGCCGCCACAGCCCCAAGCCTTCGCCCACTTCCCATGTTCGGCCGCCATGCGCGAGGACAATGAGCAACAATCCAGTGCGATGTCCGCTGGTCCTTTGTGTTGAAGCCTTTGCGGTACAATGCGGTCCCTCATGTATCCGTGAGCTTGGCGCGCGCCTGCCTCCATTGACTGGTCGCACCACTCACCCCACTTCTTTCTGCGCATGCTACTGCTTGAACAGACCACTCTGTTATGCCAAAACCTGCATAAGTCAAGCAACTAATCAATGTATACAATACCTACATCACCATCTGCAAGAATAATACCTCCCACCATTCGGAGGAGCGAGTTCCAGAACTTGGCGCCAGTCTTCCAGACCGTGTTGAAAGGGCTCTTCTTGTCGAGTTTCAACAACGTTCTCACAAGCTGGTAGTAGCACGGCGTGCAGCAACCCTTGTCAGTCAGAACACGAACTTCATGCAACCTGTTGATAGCCCATGTTAACGCTCTCTGAGGGTCCAGCTCGGAATATGACTTGGCCATGAGCACCTTCCGCACGGGCACCTCCATCCACTCAATAGGGGCACCGCCTGGGAGCCCACGACCATCATATCCTGTGGCATGCCGCAGTTCTGTCCACGCCACATTCTGTCATGCTTCATATGCTTCATCGGGAGTACGCATGCCCTCACTCAGCTGTTCACCATGCAACGTAAATTGGTCCTTGTAGCCTCCAACCTTCTCAAAGAAAGAGTCCCGGATGGTATCGGCAATATATTGACTAGGCTCTGGTTGAGTGGGTCCTATCACACGTCGAGCTGGTGGCATTTGAAACGGCTTGGCCACCCTGACCTTTTCCTCGCCAGACCTGGCCTTGAACGCGATCTTGACTGGACGGCGAGGGTCCACTGGCACATCTGACAAAATACGGACTCCCTTCACCATGTGATCTAAACATTTGCTGATCAGAAAGAAACCGATCGTGCACGAATACTCATTCATAACATATGACGGGTGATCTCCATCACCCCTCACAATGCCATCCAAACTGTGCAGCGGTACAACTTCACCCATGGCACGCGGGGGGTTGTTCCAATCCCCTCCGATCATGAACGGCGACTTGTGCACTAGCGCAGCCATACCAAGACACCTGATCAGCTTAAGATTCCTGGGAGTGAGGCCCTCGCCAACATGCATGTATACCGTGCCCATCAGAATAACTCCCAGCTCCGACGATAGAATGTAACATCGCGCTGCTCGACCAGGCCGGAGGCAACCATCATCTGGGGCCCAACAATCCAGGTGTGACCGTACCAAGATGCAGACTCCTCCTGATGCACGCCCTTTCTCCGTAGGCAGAGCTGGCCCTCCAAACA